CACACACACACACACACACACACACACACACACACACACACACACACGTTATCCATCATTAGTGAACGTCTACTGACATTAAACACTTGCAATACATGGAATTCCATTCAGACAGCTTACCTGGGAATCTTAACCAGCATTAGCATAAAGAGATCTGCTTCAGGCAGAGTGGAGGGGTTGCCCTTAAAACTGAGCAGCTGCTTCCCCTGTCAAAACAAAAAAAGCAAGCATGAATCTTAAAATCAGAAGGTGCTATTGCGATTAAATCACAAGCAACAAGGTTGTCAGATTGACATTAGACATGTGGGGAAAATATAGACAGCTGTCACACGTACCTCCCCTTCATCTGGCAGCAGCTTGAACAGCTCCCTCAGCTTTCCAGAACCAAAAGTGAGACTACTTCCGGATTTGATTTCTTCAATCATGTCTTTTACAGGCCTGCGGAGTGAGGTGGAGAGACAGATGGGGTTGCAATTATCTTGACGTTTTTTGTTGAGGGTTGGGACTGCTCAGGAGCAGTGCGTGTCTTCGTTAATTCCACACTTTTGCATAGTTCGAAGAGTTGGGCTGCTGACATCAACAAGCCTCTACCTGCTCAAATAGCTTTGCGAAATAGCAACACTTTCTGGCGTCTAACCTCAGAAAAACACACGCTGTACAGGACATTAGAATGATGCACTTTCTTCGACAACAAACATATTTGGAACTCAAAGAAACAAACATATGACACTTGTTTGGAAGGAAATACAGGAGACAGAAGCTTGGAATAGTTAGAGGATTGTGTTCGCTACATATGCTGTTGCTGTTTTTTTTTTTGTCAGTTTACAAATGCTTGAGGAGGTATATAGTATGTTTTCCATTTCTGTCAAGTACGCCAAATAGCCTGAGGCAGTACATTTACAATACCTCTCTATAGTATATCCGAGTGTTACTAGGGAGGCAACCTGCTGGAGCAGTAGAACAGTGTTTATCAGACCTGCCAGGACATGTTGGCTTCCAAGGGTTAGTGAGTATGATGCAGCCGTGTTGCAGACTAGTCCGTCTGCCTCATCCTGTGTTTTACACAACATGACGAAATCATTGTGCAAAACCAATCACACCTTAAGAATACTAACACTGACTCACCGCTTGAATTGCTTTAGGAAAATTCCAATGTTCATGCTACTCTTGGAGTTGAGGATGGAAACCTGGGAATGGAAACACAGACCTGGATATAAATCAGCTTCTCAGTCCCTAAGATAGTTTCACTGTCGGCCTGAGCAGTGTATTTTGTATCGTTTTCCTTTAGCTTTGCAAACAGACAGTTGATTCCAAAGGTTAAGGATTCTTGGAGTTGATTGTATTGAACAATGAGGGCAAAGATACCATTTTGCATCAGCCAGACATTTTGTCAGTGTCTCTCTTAGAAAATGGGACACAGGTCAAAGCAAACATTTGGTAACAGAATTTAACCAACCTTTGTGAGACAAACGACCTTGATTGTTCCACAAAAGGAAATGACAGGTGAAGGTCATAAATAGTCATGTTTTGGCTTAAGACTTGCCTTCAATTGAATGGCAAAGCAGTTTATCCTAAACAGCAGCTTGAATGCAGAGCACAAGTAGGCTACAATACAGACTGATGCTGTGTGAGGACACAAGTCCTTTCTACTAAGTACTAAGTACTTCCTTTAGTAAACAGATACGAAGAATAGTGAGACTCCACCCATGTATTGAGGGATTCTAAAAACACATGTTCAGAAGACAAGTAATACATTACTGTATGACTATTCTGGTGATGCGATGGACAAATACATTGATAATTTCTCTGACCTCACAAGGGAAGAAATAAAAATGTGATGTTTCTAAAATATAACTAGTCCCATTCCCTAAAAGTCAGATGTGATTAATGTCATAATGGAGAATGAGCTCAACAGAGGAGATCTACATCCGATAGAGAATCCAGGTCTGAAGAAGTTTTCTCCATATCTCAGCATTACACAACAAAAATACCAAACATTTCAATATATTGCTACAAACCCTTGGGGATAAAGAGTTAAGCCTACTCTGATACATTAAAGTGTGACACCTGAATCCTGATGCTGGAAAACTCACCATTACGCCTCCTGAGGCGGCAGTCGGCAGGCCCCTCAGACTCTGGCGGTTCAGGGCCTTGAGTTGTTGCTGGCCCTGCTTGTGGCTGAACAGCTCCTCCATGTGAACAGTGTCCAGCTCATATTCCCCATCACTCTTATCTGCCGTCCAGATGTTGTGCTTTCCTACCACACTGTGTTTAGGAAGGGTTTCCCAGTTGAAATTGCGCATCCTGGAGCGCCGGTGCGCTCCCTTGGCAATGAGGCCAGCGCCATGTAGGGATGGAGGGAGGCCAGGGCCTGGAGGTGGAGGTGGAGGTGGTGGAGGTGGTGGAGGTGGCGGCGGTGGTGGCGGAGGTGGAGCGGGAGGACCTACTGGTTGCATTGTTTTTCAAGGAGCTCTCAGCAGGTTTGGGATGCAGTCATCTCAGTCACACATACAGACAGGATTAAAGCCTATAAAATAAGTTGTCGTCAACTGTAAACTACTCTGAATGTCTTTATGGGATTGTGCTGTAGTTGTTGTGCTGGAGGGACTTGTTCAAAAGGTTGTCGGTTAGGATGATACCTCCAGACTGAAAGAAACAAGAGGGTGGGGACAGATTAAAAACAAAAAGGCTCATGTACACTATGACTTTAAGCAACAGTGATTAGCAATGGATAAAGCATTCACTTTATCCACAGTACTTAAAATATATGACTAGTGCTTCAAGGGTTGTCAAAAGCATAACAATAATATGCAATACACTTTGGAATCATATTACAGAAGTTACTCAAAAACTATCACAATACTCACACATTGTTATGGGATTATTAGTGGCAGTTTATTATAACATTATACATAAATATCTATTAAGCATGTTAAATGTATCCCCATGAAGCTTATTTGGCAAAAATATGTGAATGATATATACATCGTTTTAAATAATAAAGGCTTCTTGTTGCTTGTAAAGACCTTGTGTATTATTCAGTATCCAGCTAAACGTATCCATCGATAAACTAACCGAACCACCGTTTGTTACAATGTTTGTTAATACACCAACGTCATCATCAGGAAGTAAAAAGACAACATACCTTTGTTTTTGATTCAGCCGCTGCCCCGTTATCCTAATTTGTTGATTTGCCTTCTTCTTCCTTTGACTTGATGAAGCTTTGCCATACAAGCAGAGAGTGGTAATGACCTGGATAGCGCGAGGGAAGAGTGTCGAAACTACCTGCGTAAACGACACGCCCAGACGTCATGTCAGCCCACACCTTCCTAGCAGGAGGAACTCTGGGATTTCACCCACACATTTTGGCTTGTTGGCTTGTGTTTGTGGCCACGTTGTTTTCTGTCCAGCTGTCATGGACTTATGTGAGCAGTTCACTCTTTGTATAGACTCTTCTAGCGTGAAGAAAGCCCTGACTGATAGCGACATTGATTTGTTAAAGGTGTAGGTTTTGTAGTAGGCTAGGATTTTACCACGACGACCGAAAATTATACCGTGAAGAAAACACTTCGTCAGTTTTAGAGCTGCCTTGTTTTTTGTCAGCAAAAATAAATAAAATAGTAAGTGAATAAATGAGTGAAAAGGAAACCACATGCTTTAGTTAGACATTAAGCCATTCCACCAGCTCACACTGCAATTAGTTTGAATGTGGGCTGGCCTAACTTCGCAGTGGCGTCAAGTAGCAGCAAGCACTTCAACTCTGCCCCAGATATGATAAGTATGATAACTGTAAAACCCTAAATGCTTTTGTATGCAAATCAGTGGTTGTCTACAGTCAAATACTGAGGGAAACTCAAACTGTTTCAAATAGACTCCTCCTTATTTAGACGCCTAAATAAGTCAGGTATTTTGGGGAAAAATAACAAAAACTGCTATGTGCCATGTATAGCAATTTTAAACTTACATAAGTTAAAATCCCCTGCCTCTAAGATGAATGCTTGTCTTGCAAGTTGCAACAATAGCAAATAACTAGCTGTTCTCTACTCATAAACAGAATGTCATTCAGCAGGAATGTCATTTTCACTTTTGTTTGCCCTTTCTCCCTGCAAATGAGCACCAAATGAAGTAATGAGTGACAACAGGGAGACACTAAATCAGTGAGGGGAAACATGATACAACAGATAAACCCAGTGACTGCATACAGCAGGCTACGGGATGTGATGTGTATTTGTCAAACCCATCACAAAGTCCACGATTGACCAATTAACTGACTGGATGGGCAACAGCTGAACCAACTGTGCAATGTTAACTGATACCATTTAATTAAATGGTATATTTTCTCAGACATTTGTTAACATTGGTGCAGTAAAGGGATCAGCTCGGTGTGAATAGTGCTGTAAACTACATGGTCTTATCTCCAGATTGCATTTCTAACTTCACATTTGGGCCAAAATAACCAAAAAAAATAGATCAATGTGCTTCACACATTAAACAATTTAGTATAATTTCATGATTATGAAATAAGATAAGTCATGGAAAGCATGTTAGAGATATATCAGATTGTATTATCATGTACATAATTAATGGTGGATACATATAACATATATTGTGAGCTTCTCACTGACAGATCTGTGTCGACGGCACAGTTGGGTGAAAACAAAACATCCAGCAGATTTTATTGGAAATGCAGAAAAAGACAAAAATAATCAGCTGACTAGAATGGAAAAGAACTGTACATAACATAAATTGCTATGTCACAAACAGATTGATAAAAATAAAATATGAAAAATGTGCGTGTACATTCCGTCCTCGAAGACACTGAAATTGGAATTGTATCCTAAATTCATGTTTAAGAATATGAGACTTCAAGAATGAGTCTCGGAGGTTATTTTTTATAGATACACACAGGCACCTCCAAATAAAACATAAATCAAACAGTGTGTTGAATTTTGATTTCTTTACGATAGTCCAGATGTTTGTATTTATAATCAAAGCATCCAATATATTAACTGCTTGATGCTGAGTTACTGAGTGTAACATCTGTTTAACACATGACAGACACTTCATCAGGACAAAAAAATAAATCTAGAAGAACAAACTAATGATGGATTGTATATTCGGTTAGAGAAATTGACTATATGTATATTTTCCCTTCTATGCATGTAAACTGACCATTAAAGCAGGTATACCACAAAGCAATATTAGAAGCAAGTGGGATAACTTTGAAAATCATGCTAAACCCTGATGTCTTTGATCTAAATCTGTAAAACTAAATTTGAAAAAGGTGGTTCAGTCACGCACACTCAAGAAAAATAAATACAATTTCGAGGGTTTAGTTATAAGATTTTTGACATTATCCCTCTAACTTGCTAATCTGATTTGTGGAATTCCTCTAATGTGATATACTCTGAAATATAAGATAACGCTTTAGACAACATTTAAAAACAAAACATAATAATGCATGTGCAAAACTGCCGTGGGATCGCTCACCAATAGTAGATTATACTGTACATAAAAAGGAAGTGATATTCACCTAAAGAATAAGTAACAAAAGAAACCAAAAAGAACAATCTCTTGTTGTACCATCTATGTAATACAGGATAGTGAAAAACAGACAGAAATATCTCATGTTTTTCTTCACCACTGACCGTAATTGATCCTACTATGTACTCCTTTATTTCATTCTTGTCCATCTAACCACAATGTCAGGATCTTCACGGACCAGCGTGTCACTGTACATGTCAAGACTGCTGAACCCCCGGGCGCTCTTTACTGCTCCTCCAGCCAGGATGGCTTGTCTGATCCCGGGGGCTTTAACTTTACATTGAACTGTATTAGAGTTTGTTCCAACTGCTCCTGGTTGCCAGCAAAGTAAGCTGAGATAGCATTATGGAAGAGAAGCAGCTGCTTGTGCATAACCTTCACCTAGAAGAAAAGGAGAGGGAAATTCTGCCATTACAGTACAAAAACAGTTTCAAGTGTTGAGGAAAGTACAGGCCATTGACATCTATCACGATGACATTTACTAGCTGCCCAGAATAGTGTCTGGGGAATCAGCCTGAAAGCAACTTGCACATTACATTCTGCTAAGATGTATCCCCAAGCTATTTTAGGCATGCTAAGTCACACAAACGGTGACTCTTGTTTTTATCTTTGTTATTTTCATTAACTTGGCAAAACTTCTAAAATAAAACATATAAAAAAAATGATGTTTTGCTTTTCAAACGGTGTGGTTCATGGGTCTGTGTTTAATTCGACAAACTGAGGCATTCTCTCTCTTCAGCGTAATTATCGACAGCATGAACGTGCTTGTCTCTGTTGGTGAAGAAGTCAGCCTGCTTCCTTTAGTTTGAGCTGGTCTGCCTCAGCAGATGCTTAAGGGCAAAGGAAGAGGTGCATTTTCTACCTTAATGTGGCAAATCAGTCCTAAACCACTGCTGCAGTGTGCGATACTTCAAAGCTCAGGACTTACTTTACACTGTAAATTAGGCATCAACAACAAATCAGAATGCGACACAGCATGCTCCATCTTTTCTGAACATCATTGACTGCACTGGTATTCTCCCCCTTCAGGATGCTGTCCAAAAGTAATTTTGAGTGGGTGATTTTAAGGAGTAACTGGACACCCTGCTGAAAAGCAGTGTTTTACTGGTTTTCCCTGATTGACAGTTTCATGCCTGTTTCACCTCTGACCACGCCCACCAACACTGATACCTGTGGTGGTCAAAGGTGAACATGCACCTGTGACCACAGGGTCCTGGAGTACATCTAAACATCCCCACAGCAAAGTGAGAAGTTAACCCACTGGAGATTAGCAAAAACAAGAAGGTTTTATAGGCGGACATTTGAAAGGAAATAGAAAATTGTAAACCACAAACCTTGTTTTCCTCCAGGAATTTGAGCTTGATGGTGACATCACTACGCAGCCTTTCGTATTTGTCTCTGTAGATCTGGTAATCATGTTGCGCCATGTCAATGCGGACCATGGTAGCTGAATCCCTGGGGCCCAAACTCAGCTCCTCCAGATCAGAGCGATAGGCATCAAACTCAAGTCTGCATGCATGCAAAAAAAAAAAAAAGGTTGAGGCTGTCTCACTTTGCAGGTTTTCACCCTACAGGAATTAAGATCATATTCCTCAACTCCTAACCAGGATGTCAGGGTTTGTTACCTTGTGTTTTCATACAGCTTAATGGTCGTCAGAGTATCCTCCATTGTTTTGTTGACCAGGGTGTCGACGCTGGACACGAAGAAGTTGACGGCACTAAGAAGAGCCTCGCCATTCCTACACAACAGCTTTTGTGTTTCTGCATTATACCCAAACTCGTCCTGTAGAGAAACAAATTGGTTTCACCTGCTAACTTCAGCTCCACGTCACATCACACAGGGAGCTTTTTTTTGTTACTGTACGGTACCTGCAGCTCTGGGGACTTCTGGCTGAGGTCGGCGAAGGTGTCTCCTAGAGCCTGTTGCGTCTGCACCATGCTTTGAAAATGACTGGTGAGTGCAGTGGCCAGTCGGAGGATGTTTTCATACTTGTTCTTGGTCTCCTTTAACACGTCTATCTGAGCCTCCAGTTCCAGGTCTACTGTTCTTGAACCTCTGCCAAACCGCTCTGAGAACATCTGCTTTGTACACTGCATAGTGGATATAGAGTCTACATTAAACCCAACATAAAGAAAACGTCATGACATTATGGTCAGCTCGACTGAAGACACAATACCTTGTATGTGTTTATGCCCCATTTCTTTACACTGTCCAATTTCTCCACTGCCACACCCCGAGAAACTTCTTCAGTGGAATTACCACCGTTATTGTTTGAGGACCCTAACAGAGACAAAAAAAAGCACAATGTCCACTCTGATGCATGTCATCCTATCAAAGTTTACAGAGGGCAGAAATTGCATGGGTCATGACAATGAGTGAAGAGTACAGTGTGGACATGGTGATGAGCCTGGTGATACCTGGATGCTGGTCTGTGTGCTGGGCAAGTCGACTAGCTGCAGATTGGCTTTTAGGTAAGCCAACACCCCTGGATTTCATGCGAATGTCTGAAATGAGCACGGTGATGATATAAAAAAAAAAAAAAAAAAAAAAGCGAAGATGAGAGGAAGGTGTGAAATATGTATCAATAAAAGTGTGCTGTTGAGATCGGCAGCTGAATAGCATACTGAAAGAAAACAATGTTAGGCACTGTGGTGAAGGAAACATTAAAAGAGTTAAAGGGGGTTGGAAATAATCCACCATGCAGGTTTCTCATGCAGAATAAAAGGATTTACAAAAAGATGAAAATGGACTTCATGGGATGAGAGGTCACTAACAAGCAATGTCAAAACAGTCACCAAAAATGCATTTTACAAGACAAAATAGGACATTCTTGTTAGACATCAATAAGTTAGATCCCTGTAATATCAGGTTAGTGCACCCCTAAGTTTGAAAGCTGCCAAAACACTTGTTGTTGCTGAAGCTGTGAGTTGAAGAGGTACAAGCAAGGTTGCATGAAACTCCCTCAGTCAGGCAATCTCTTATACAAGGCCAAACAGCCCAACATATAGAGGAAAACCAAAAAAAGGTTTGTCAGAATACACGGCCACCTGGTCCTGGTGCTGGGGCTCGTCTTCTGTCCAGATACTCAGGGTTGAAGCGAACTGCAGGCCCTATGGGATATGGATGTTTGTAACGTGAACCAGGAGCCTCTCTAGTGACACATCAGAATACAAGGAAGAAAAGCTCTCGGTACGGTTTCTTTAAGGGGGTATTGAGTATCAACCTCTCTCAGTGATTTAAGGATTGCAACAACATTGACAGATCTCTCGCATGGCAGTCTGCACAGCCTGTCGGGGGGAGTGGAGGGGGACAAAACAGAGAGTGGAATGAACAGTGAGCTGTGTTAAGCCAGAAAAGTCAGCACTCTGCAAAATAATTGCAGGGGGATTTGTATTGATCAACAACCCTCCTATACTGATGTAGAGTTCTCAGCATGACTTACGGCTTTGGTACAGCAAGTACTATGCAGAGCTCCATTCATTATGTCTTTGCAGCACAAACTGTATCTGCACTGTGAAGAATAAACAAAAGAAGCAAAAAGATGAAATTCAGTTGTTCCAACAGTACCTTTGATGCTGCTGGTAGGAATGATGCCCCCTGCAGGTCCTCCATAACCTCCTGAGACAATGCTGGTTTCATTCAGGTTGGGTCCAGACACCATCACCTGCTGCAAATCCTGATGGATTTACAACAAAATACAGATAATACATGAAGTTAAAAAGGCAATAAATATCATCACATTTAGGGAACCAGAAAGCTGAAACTTCCAAGTCATCCTGAACACAGACCACACAAAGAAAATGCTTATGTGGCATTTTATTATTCCACATGATGGCCTTCAGTACTACTTTCCTCAGACAGACATATTGTTCATGTAGGACCACTGATACTGTAGGCTTTACCAGAATGAGACCAAAACAATGCGCTAGTTATGAATTGTATTGATTGCTACTGATAGTATTCAAAGGCTCGTATGACTTAAGCATTCTGCACAGTAAACCTACTCCCTCTCCAATGCTCTCAACACATCATCCCCAGTATCAGGTGCTGATGGTGGTCAAACGTTACAGCTACTGTACATAGCAGCAGGCCTGTGCATGATAGGTATCTGCTGGCCTAAACAGCCTTAGTCCTAGACTGTGCCATCATGTGGAAAAGGATAGAGAAACACACACTGAGTACAAAAAAACAAAACAGATGTAATAAAAGGACATTAAAGAAATGTGACTGACTGACCTGCTCCAGGCTGTCATCCTCTGGCAGAGTCCCTGTGTCGCCATTGCTGTTAATGGGGATCTCCATGGTGGCAGCCTTGCTCATGATACTGTCTGCCATGACTCAACCTCTGCAAGACAGCACCAAACACCGACACATAAAGATGGTATCATGTTTGCAGTTTGACAAAATAGTAACCACACAGCCTTCTACTCCACCTCGACACAGAGATAACGCCTTGCTTACATGGATGCTAACGTGGCTGGCTAGTCTCAGCGGTGCTGATGTGGCCCCAGCTACAGTAGCGACCCGAGGTCTAGTCGTCCGAGGGAGAAACAAGCCGTTGTTTGCACAGACAGCAGGCTTGAAATGCAAACTTGTTTCAGCGGGAAACCACCGTTGTCTTTAATAATCATTTAATGCTAAAAGTCCATGATTATTTTTCCTGCAACGGTTATCTGCCTTCCATGTAATTCAGCCAGAAAATCCCTGCATACAGCTTGCTGACAGCTTTAGTGGCACCTCTTCGAAATAAAAGTTTCTGTGATTTTTATTCAACTCCAAGTCACATAGCTTGGTTTTAATAGCAAAGCACTTCGAGTGAAATATATAGTCTAAACTGTTTAGTGTGTGTTACTTTACAAATGAGAGGCTTCAAGCGTATACTGTGAATACATGCTCTTATTTTGAAAGATAATACCTTTAACGTAGCATCATCGTCAAGCCTCCTCCCCCGCTCCATCTTCCACGTCGTGCAGCGCTGACGTAGCTTTATTTATCCCCAAACTGCAGTACCATTCTGCTCCTGAAGATGTCCCTAACAGCCCACGGACTGTGAGAGGAAAGACACACATACAGTAACTCCATCAGTAACTTCATTAAGGCGCTGGCCCATCAAATGCTGTGATTATTAATCATGAGAAGGAAGGCTGCTGCGTCCTGTTACCTTGATTGCAATATCTCTTCAAATCAAACTGTATAAATACAGTCGTTTGTTTTGAGATGTGAAATGCCTCGAGATAGACCTCACCCTGGTAAACTGACCACACTTCCAATTATTTGGCTCATTTGTTTCAATCAGGATGCCAGGGAAGTGCACATGGTCTCCAAATGTAGTTTGTGTAATTACTCCTGGTCTGAACAGAGAACCAACCACTCACACCCACAATTCCTACAGTAAAATGGCTAATTTCCTTTGATGTGTTGATTTCCTGCACGTGACATATTTTCCAAACATCTAAAATCTCATGTTGAGAAAACCTTTTCCTCCTAGTTTCTTCCCCTTCATCATCGTCCCCCTCCTCCTCCTCCTTTTTCAGGCTTCTGCATATGACTAGATTTGACTTCTGCATTCCCAAGATCAAAGGCATTTAAAGGCAAAGGATGAAACTGGGTTAGTCATGTTTTCCCCTTAATCAACAAATCAACGTGCCAAAGGTTATTGGACCGGCATAATACATGCTCTGCTTTTGATCCTGATGTCAAAATTCACAGAATATTGCGTTGAACAAGGTTCATATGTTGATGTCACATGTAAGTTGTTGAAGTCAAAGTTTACCTCCCTGACCTGTTTATGTGTCCATTAGTCGCCATCATTTGTATCATAGAATCAATCTATTTTGTTTTATACTGGGTACAGTTTATGTAACATTGCCTATTAGCTCTACATTACCTTATTGCAAGTATGTCTCAATACTTTTAGTGCAGGATACCAGTCTACCTAGTAAATCCCTAGTGAATTGGTGAAAAAAGGGATTCTATATACATACTACAAGTCTTGTCAACAGGAACTGAGGTCACAGCGATGTAAAGATAATGAGGTTGTTGCTGTATACCATCATCTAACGTTAAATATTCCAGTGGTTTGCTGGCTACTTTAGTTCCAGTTTGGTGAGTGAATAATTGTATGGGTATGTTTTGACTTACTATTTGAAGAGAGTGACTGACTCAACATCCGTTAGCTCCGGTACCTTTGACCTCCACACTATTCATGGGCCACAAACAGCCCAATGTTGCTGAGGCTTGAATTTTAAAACCAGTTGTTTTGTTTTTTGGAGTGGAGGTAAAGGAAATTATGTGCAGCAGTTAGTTACCGGCATTGCACAAGATTGCAAGCTGCAATTAGGTAATCAAGGCTTATTAAAGTAGACTTTAATCACAAACTCTCTCATGTTTCAGCTTCATGACAGTCAACAGTTTTAAGTTTTAACAAGAGCAGCGGTGGAGGGGGGGGGGGGGGGGGGGGGGGGGG